GCAAATCAAATTCAGGTTCGGAAAGGGATACACACACGACACCCTCCTCATCAAACACTCTAGATAAAGAGTCAGCCACTGTGTTAGCATGGCCTGGTTTATATTCTATATGAAAAGAATATCCCTTCAACTTGCACAAATATTTTTGCTGTTCAGCAGTGTGAATAGTTTGAGTGAGGAGTTCTTTAATGCTTCTATGATCAGTTCTGATAATAAATCTGGTCCCAAGCAAATATTGTCTCCATCTTTTCACAGCAGCAGTGATAGCATAAAATTCTCTGATATAAGTAGAAGAACTAGCTAATCTCGGTCCAAGCTTTTTACTGAAGTAAGCAATAGGTTTTTCACCTTGGAGTAACACAGCCCCCACACCAAAATTCGATGCATCAGTATCAACAACAAATATCTCCTCGAAATTGGGTAGCTGCAATACAGGTGTATGAGACATAGCAACCTTTAATTCCGAGAAAGCTGTATCAACTGCTGGTGTCCATTGGAAAACAGATGATCCTTTTAATAGATTTGTTAAGGGAAGAGCTAAGGAAGCATAACCTTTCACAAATCTTCTATAATAACCAGTTAGCCCCAAGAAGCCCCTCAATTGCTTAATAGTTTTGGGAGTAGGCCATTGAAGCATGGCTGAAATCTTCCTAGGATCAGCAATAACCCCACTATCAGTGACCACATGGCCCAAATGTTCGATAGACCTCTGTCCAAAAGCACATTTAGACAACTTAACCACAAAAGCATACTACTGTAAAGTAAGGAGAGCTAGTTCCAAATGCTGAACATGCTCCTCAATAGTTTTACTGAAGACTAAAATGTCATAAAAGAAAACTATAATGAATCTCATGAGATAAGGTTTGAAGAGATGATTCATGATCGCTTGAAAAGTGGCTGGTGCATTTGTCAAACCAAATGGCATGACCAAGAATTCAAAATCACCATCATGTGTCCTGAATGCTGTCTTGTGAGTGTCAGCAGGCAACATCCTAATTTGGTGGTATCCCGCTCTTAAATCCAATTTAGAAAAAATAGTAGAACCCCCTAGCTCATCCAACAATTCATCAATAGTAGGAATAGGGAATCGATCTTTAATGGTGACTGCATTAAGAGCTCTATAATCAATGCAAAGCCTCCAAGAGTTGTCTTGTTTTCTCACTAACAAGACTGGTGAAGAGAATGGACTATGAGAATGTTGGATGAAACCCGAAGCTAGAAGCTCAAAAACCTGTTTTTCAATTTCAGATTTTTGATCATGACCATATCTGTATGGTTTAACATTAACAGGTTTGGTACCTGGCTCTAAGTGGATGGAATGATCCAATCCTCTAAAAGGTGGCAATCCACTAGGAAGTGCAAATACCTGCTGAAATTTCAACAATATAGGCCAAAGAAGGGGATGGAGATCAGATTGCATTTTGAGTAACTCAGGCAGTATTGTAACCTGTATAGAAGAATTTGATTCTGTTTGTAAGGCATGACAGCCAGCCCACTCTTGGGACAGAATTGTATTCAATTTAGCAGAGACATCAGTGGGATTATGACCTTGCAAGACAATTGAATTTTCTTCCCACCAAAACTCCATTGACTTACTGATATAATCATGAGTAACCTTTCCCAGCCGTTCCAGCCATGGCATACCCAAAATGATGTCTATATCAGATAAATCCAGAACCCACAGATCACAGACAAACTTATGACCTTGAATCAGTAATGGTACCTTGAGACATTTTTTATCAGAATGCATAACATCCCCATTACCCAGAAACACACGAATTCGGTGAGAATGTGATATAGGCAAGGCTAGTTTCACAGCTAACTGATGTTGTATGAAATTATGGGTGCTCCCTGAGTCAACTAAAATAGAGAAATCCATACCTGCCAATGTTGAACTAAACATCAAGGCACGATAGTGAGTAGTATCCCTCAAGGTATGAAGTGAAGCATCCTTTGCTTCTCCAACAGAGTTATCAACTTGCCAAACAATCTGTTCCTCCTCTACTGCCTGATCAACAACATCATCCTCACCAAACAATAACATCAATTTATTCTTGCAATTGTGCTTAGAATTCCATTTCTCATCACATGTATAGCAAAGGCCCAATTCTCTCTTCTTGTGTAAATCAGCATTCAACACACGTTTCATTGGGGTAGGAGTTGGTAAGGCCAATCTCTGTGTATTCGAAATTCCAGAAGAATTTCCAGAATGAGGGATGGAATTATTGGGCAACACAGAAGAGCTATCTAAGCCAGACACAGGTTTCTGAAAAAAATTCTTAGGTGCACCTTGGAACGAAGTTTTGAGATCAGTAAAATGATCATCATAAGCCATATCCAGCTGAATGGCTTGGTGTAAGGATATAGGTTCCTTTAATTGGACCGCACTACGTAAATCAGATTGGAGACCCGAAACAAAAAAGTTCATTAAAAGATCATCATCTAGTTCAGGAATTTGATTAACCAATGCCTCAAATTGTTGAATATATGCACGTAGGGAAGATGTTTGAGTCAATTTGGATAAACTCCTTTTAAATTTGTAAAGCCAGACATGCCAAAACGCTGGCGAAGAGCAGAAACAAAATCAGACCATGCACGAGCCTTACCATTGTTGAAAGTCCATTGAAACCAAGAGGCAGCCATGCCTTCCATCTTCAACCCAGCCAAAGCAACCTTTGTTTCCTCGGGAATCAACTGAAGAGTAAAGAACAACTCTGCTTTAAAAATCCAGTTGTTAGGATCAGTACCATTGAAAACCGGTATCTCCATGCGAACCCCCTTGAGTAAGGAACGATGATCCATGGAATCTGATTTGGTGTAATTGTGCAAAACAGGAGAATTATTGCTGTGTGAATTACCATGCTTAGGCGTTTGATTAGCCATAATTGTTTCCTGCAATTGTTGCATCTGTAAAACCAGTAAGGAAAACTGGTTCCTGGTTTCATTAGCCTGAACCGTCGCTTGCATGTGAAGTTCCTCCAAGTTCGAGTCCACTCGTTGCTGAAGAGAATGCAACTCCTCCGATAATTCTTGAATCCTCGTCATGGAAGAAGAATAGGAGAATGGTTGAAAGCACCAATGTTAGGTTTCTAAAACCTAAGGAAAAACAGGACAGAGATAAAAGAAGAGAATGAAATTCAGTTTATTGATCTTGAATGAATGAATCCATAGTTCTTTACAGTTCCTATTTATAATCCTTCCAATATACCCAATTGACAACTACACACGCACGTGTAGCTTAACTAACTAACCGACTAATAAGGACATGCAACCTGTACACGTGGAGTAACCAACTAACAGAGCATTACAAATGGAAGCATGAAGTATAAGTCACGCTACAAAGTCTGTTAGCATAGATGAACGCTTCCTACTCCTCATGGACCTTCGCATCGTAACACATTAGCACCAACCCAAGACCTTAACAATGAAGATGAGCAACTTGGTGATGATCATGGGGAAGATTGATGTCTTATTTTATTTTATTTTGGACACAGATGTCTTTTTTTCACACATAGTCCCTTTAACATTGTTCTTCATTTCTATGTGTGATATTGACTTGTATACATATAGTACTTTTCATTGTTTATGGTGTTTTGGGTAATTGATGTTACTTTGGATTTGTATTATCTGCATGAAATTATCATACATTCACACTTTTCATTATCTATAATGTTTTTGGTCATTGATGATAGTTCAGATATGTATTATTTGTATGAAATTACCACATGTTTATTAGGTACACTAGTATGTATTTGCTGAATTAAAATCAATATGAAATAAATGTTTTTTAAAAAATGATAATTTATTTTTGACGGAATTCTATATATATTCCGTTGATAACTGTTAAGAATTTTCAACGAAATTGCTTTCCATTGAAGTTTTCAATGAAATTATAGATAAATTATGTTGCAAATTGTTAAGAAGTTTCAACAAAATTACTTTTCGTTGAAATTTTTGACGGAATTATGGATAATTTTTTTTGCAAACTGTTAAGAATTTTCAACGAAATTACTTTCCGTTGAAATTTTCAACGGAATTGTAGATAAATTCTGTTGCAAATTGTGATGAAACTTTTCGACGGAATTATTTTTCGTTGAAATTACCGACGAAGTTCTAGTTAAATTCCGTTGCAAACTATGACTGAACTTTTCGACGAAAATGTTTTTCGTCTAAATTTTGATGGAAACTTATTCCATCAAAATTTTTGACATAATTGTAGTTAAATTCCGTTTTAAATTGAGATAGAATTTTTCAATGGAAATATTTTTTGTTTAAATTCTCAACGAAATTTATTGAATAAATATTATGTTTTGATTTTTTTGTCGACGGAAAAGTAAGGCTTTCGACGGAAAAAATTCCTTTAAAATATTCAATGAAAACTTTTTCTGTTAAAAATTTTGACTGAAAAAAAATCTGTTGCCTTTGGACAAAGTGTGTTTCAACGGAAGAATTCCGTCAAAAATTCTTTGGAAAAATAAATTTACAACGGAATTTTTATAGTTTGCAACGAAAAAATTCCATGAAAAATATGGATATTTCTAGTAGAGGATGTATAGTTGGACAAGCAATTAATAAAATCCATAGTTATGTGTGTTTTCTTGACTTAAGTATTACAGCTCAACATGTCGAGTTTGAGCTCACTAAATATAGCATCCCTTTTTCTTCTCTTAGAATTTGAGCTCCAAAGTATTCTCTTCTCCCCTCCCCCTATCTGCTTTTTCTTGTTTTCCCTTTTCCACTAACCCCTTTTTATATTTAATGAGGATGAGTTAAGATTGCAATTGAATCTGTGATGCTAAATTTTTGTTAGGGAAGTAGGTTATTATTCTCTTATATATTGTGTGTCGCCATTAGGATGATGCTGCACTTGGTCTCAATAGATATACCAATAAACTTGTTTTTGTAATCTATTACTGATGTAAAACTTAAAAGCTAACACACTAGTACATTACAAGCATATATATAGCAATTTGCTGTATATACTATACATGTGACACCGTTGATCTTTTTTTATCTAACCGCTCTTAGATGAGGTGTCAAATTTGAAATTTGACACCGATGTCAAAGGATACTCCCTCGTTATTTTGTGTATGAAAAAGTTAAAAACATAAAACTACATAACCTGAAATTAGCTTCCTTTTAAGACAAGGTTCTTCACAGTGAAATTACCATTACCATTGCCCTTAACCACACCATCATTGGCAAGAAAGCTTCCTGAATCTTGGTTTCGGCTACGAGGTCGTGCTTCTGGAAGATTATTATTATTGTCGCTGTCTTCAGAGTCAGAGAACATGAAGTTACGCTGCCTCTGAATATTAGCACAATGAGGACATGATGTAGGCTTCCAAATCCTGGTTCTATTGACTTCATCAAACATGTGAAATAATGCTGAACAAGGGTGTTGGATTGGACCCTCCACATCAAAATTCAAAGTTCCATCATCCAAGACTCTAATCTTTACGACCACAGAAAGCCCAATATCTGTTCTATCGCAAGTTTTAAAATAAGCAAAATAGTGAGCCACTGTCCCCATATAAGGATTTTGATCCCCTCTCTTTTTCTTCCACTCCCTAACATGAAGACCCTTCCTTGTTCCAGACCCATACATGTGAACGGTCGTTTCCGTTACGAAACCACATGCATTTGTATTTTTTCTTGTATATAGCGACGTCAAGTGACGAATACTGCTGTTCTTGATCTTGCGTTCTATCTCACGTGAGAATGTATCTACTTGAAAAAGACCAGCTTCCTCTCTTCTTATCCTATCACGAAAGCAATTTGAATATTTTAGTGTAATATTATCGTTGATATTTTTTCCTTGAATCTTATCAATGATCTTGTTTTCATACAAATCCACGATCTCGATCTCTATCTCCTCATCATTTGGATTTCCTCCGGTGGTCTTGGTAAAGTTGAGTACACAGTTTGACCCATCTACGTCGTATGACAATTTCCACGTCTTTCTCTTTATTCCATTACATTTTTCCTTGGTCTCTTCTTTTTTCAAGTCAATCGCAACAGAGTTTCCCAGTTGTACATGATAAGAACAATCTTCATCTTTGAGAAGACGAAGGCCGCCAGGACTGTTTCCCATGCATGTGTATTTTTGTCTTATGAGAATAGCCCACTTTCTACATCATGACACACCATTAGTGCAATTAGAAACTCTCTGAATGAAAATCTTTGCACGCAGATATAAATTTAGAAAAGTACAGAAAATTCAAATCAAGTTTCAATACAAGATAAAATATATTTTTTATAATAAAAAGTATGTGAAATATATATATATATATATATATATATATATAGGTTTTAATGTTTCTAAAGTGAACGTAGATGGGTTATCTACCTTCACTTCCAAAACAAAGTTGTTTTGGTTGAAAAATTAAAAAATTATAATGAAAAAGACTATTATAATCCTGAAATAAATTATAATTACAGAATTATCTTGTTTTCCGCCTCAAAACGACGTCGTTTGGGCTCAATGTAGATAAATTATCTACATTGACCGTAAAACAAGCAAACTCATATATATATATATATGGAAAAAATATTTCTACAGCCACTTTAGATAAAGTTATCTACAGCTACCATTTATAACCATGTTCTCCCGAGAGAACATAGTTATAACTTTAAAGTTTCTTTTTTTTTCTCTCTCCACGTCAGCAAACAAGTTCTGAAAAGTAACTGAGGAGAGAAAAAAAAAGCAACTTTAATGTTATAATTATTTTCTCCCGGAAGAACATAGTTATAAAATGGTAGCCGTAGATAACCTTATCTAAAGTGGCTGTAAAAAAGTTTACCCCATATATATATAGGCTTTAATGTTTCTAAAGGGAATGTAGATAAGTTATCTACATTCGCTTCCAAAACAACGTTGTTTTGGGTTGAAAAATTAAAAAATTATAATGAAAAAGACTATTATAACCCTGAAATAAATTATAATTACGTACAAAAATATCTTGATTTCCGCCTCAAAACGACGTCGTTTTGAGCTCAATATAGATAAATTATCTACATTGACCATAAAAAAGCGAACTCATATATATATATATATATATATATATATATATATATATATATGAAAAAAATATTTCTACAGCCACTTTAGATAAAGTTATCTACAGCTACTATTATAACTATGTTCTCCCGAGAGAACATAGTTATAACATTAAAGTTACTTTTTTTTCTCTCTCCACGCAGCAAACAAGTTCTGAAAAGTAACTGAGGTGAGAAAAAAAAGCAATTTTAATGTTATAATCATTTTCTCCCGAAAGAACATAGTTATAAAATGATAGCCGTAGATAACCTTATCTAAAGTGACTGTAAAAATGTTAATTTTTGAATATAATTGATTTATATTTTTCTGTTTCTTTTAAAAAAACCATTAAAGAAATACTCCTTTCCAAATCTAAAGACCTAATAAAGCTATCATTTTATACCGCCACTTACCTTAAACATAAACAACCAACTTACATACCAGCTTATAGAAGTGAAGGTCGATCTAAAATTTTTATATTTTTCTTTCTCTCGCACACTGCAAGTGAAGGGCCGTCAATTTTTATATTATGTCTTTCTAATTCACTCTTTCTCCTAAGAGTTCTTTGAGCTTAAAATATAGATATTATACAACGCATTTTTTGGTTCTACATTATGTTGACTTAATTCAACTAGAAAATAGAGCAGTGAGAATGAAATTCGTTATCTCGTGATCACCTTGGCTCTAACGAGTGTTTAATAATTTTGTATTATATATTTTTAACACATTCTTTCACATAATAACTTTTTGGACTTGAAGCGAAGCCTTGTGGTGCCACGTGAAACAACCATATATTTAACCCCAAAAGCTCAAATTTGTACTTAACGAGCCTTAATTTAATAATTTTATATTATATCTTTCTATCATTGATTCGGCCACTTCCATATTTTCACCATAATAAATATCCTAATTTTAGTATTTGATCTTGTATCCAATACAAATCATGTGTCTCAATCCTAACAATATGCAACAACGTACCTGTAGTGTAGCTGTCTGTATGCACGCACAACTCGACGGCGTAAATGGATTGCTTTGATCATATGAGCATTAAGACTACCTATCTGACCACTTTACTTGAAATAATAAAATGGTCTATCTGGTCTGCATTGTTGGGTTCATATTGTGAAATTATAAATACACAGATTATAGAATCTTTGCACTGGTCTGCGTTATTCTTCCGCAAGATATTTAATTTAGGTGGTATCTAATTCTCTATTGTAGATTTCCACATTACTTTTCTCTTATTAACACTATTTATTATAAGTGCAAAAGTGATCTCGTGATATCAAATTTGATCCTCGTTGCTCCACTTTGCAATGGAATTAAGCTAGCACAAAATTATACCTATACCTATATATATCAAATTATTTCTCAAGCAGCTTGAAATAAGTTTATCTTCGACTACCCCAAAACTACCACTACAAAAAACACGGCCTATAACGACATCAGGTTAACCACATTTTTAACATGTTGATAAAAATTCGAAAATACCCTCGATTAGCAACATTATTTTTAAAGAAGTAAAATTATTTTTGAGTTTTTTATTATAATTTTTTTAAAAACACTTTTTCATTTCTATTCGCTCCTCTATTCGTCTATTCTGATAAACCCTAAAGTTTATCTTCGTTTTTCAGCTTGGAACAATCCCTCTATTCGTTCCTCTACTAGTCTATTCTGATAAACCCTAAAGCTTATCTTCGTTCCTCAGTTCCTTTCTTAATACCTTCAAATCTTGGCTCATTTGGTTATTCATCTTGGAGAGGAAGCAAGTTCTCCATTCCCACAAACTAGAATTTTTCAGTGCTAAGGTGGCTCTACTTTCAGATCCTTATAGATCTATGAATATTCTCAATATTTTTTGGTATTATATATTTTTATTTAATTATTTTTGAAATTTCTGGTATAGGTTTCATCTCTGCTGATATTAAATTTGAAGTTCTGATCTCAGATCTAGTTTGTTGTGATTCTGCGATTGTGATTCTGCGACTTCTTTCTGTCACTTATAGATCTAGTTTGTTGCAAGGTTAAACAAGGGAACTTAAACTCTTCTGTCACTTGTGATTCTGCGACTTCTTTCTTTCCAACAATTTGTAGTAATTTATCCCACCACGTTGTTTCTTTTTTGCCGACTTATATGCATCTCTTACTCTGTTTTCTTTCATTCTGTTCAATTTATGTATTAGCAGATGCGCTTTGGTCTCTCAAACTAATTTGTTGGATTCATCACTCCAATTGCAAGCTAGTGAGTTTTTTTTTTTCAGAATATAAAGAACTGCTTGTTCAGAATTCATAATGGGTAACAGAGTATTCGTAAGATATTTAACCATCCATGGAGCTATATATGAAAATTTGTATATTTTGGATAGTCGTGACTAACAATAAGAATATTGTGACTTTAAAATGCTGTGTAGACTTCATATAACATTTGGGGTAAAATCATAATCATTAGCAGCTCATTGGAAGAGAAGGGATAGGTTACTAGGAGTTGTGCTAGAAGCCTTGAAAAATTATTTCTTGCACATTTAATTGCCTGTCACAGTTGCAGAATTTTCATGTTGTATTACAATCATATTGTATGTAGTTACTAAGCACAAACCTTTTTCTTTGTAAGGGCTTACCTGACCTGAAATACAGCAAATAATCATGATAAAAATCCTACACCAAAGAATTGATTTCAGTGATGAAATATCTTATCCTCTTTATTTTTTATTTTTTTTACCCCATCTTGAGTAAGTTGGCCTTTGGCTCATGATGGAAATGATAACAGTAGTTATTATAGCTTTGTAAACAATAGGAAGTTATGAAGCTTTCCAAACATTAGGATTATAGAAAATAGTCCAATTATTTATTATTCTTGTAAATATAAGTTGTATTTATTTTTCCATGTATATAAATATTAGTATGCTAAGTGCAAATTCTCAAGCAATTCACAGAAATCTCTCTTGAATTTTTTTCTCAGGTCGTTTAAAGAAAGTTTTTCCCCCATAAATTGAAGTTAGTAACCCAGGCTTGAAGTTTACTTCCCAGTTTTTGCTTATTTGATCATACGGGTTTTCCTTTATACCTGAACTTCTTGTGCTCTGGCTTCGATCTTTTGGCATCTGTTGTTGTACACACTCACACTCATCACTTCTTATATTTACCAACAAGAAATAGGGCTAATTTTGCATCACCGCTTCAAATTGGTTGCCAACAAGTTTGAAACTGCATTAGCATGTATCAATTTCAAGATTGTATCATGAAATGCTGACTCAGGTTGTGCTTCACTTATATGTGCTTGTAATGCTGCAGTTCATGAAAGGGTGCTTAGGACATGCGATGACTTTGTCTGGCCTGTGGATACTGCATTCCTTGGACGCTTCATTATTGATGTCGAATTTCTTGACTTGAAAACATGCCCTCTGAATGTGAGTCCCTAAATTTTACAATCATTACTTTATTAATATGATATTCACATAAATAGATAATTATATAATTTGCCCGTAAATATGCGTTTTGGTCTGTGTAACACCCCGTGTATACTCGGAATATTATCATTACATCGTATTAAGCGGTGCTTAATTAAAAATGCAGAATATTCTTTTTCTTTTCAATTATGACGTCATTATCAATTACCAACTTGATTACTTAATCAATTTCATAAAATATCGCCTGCATATAAATTGCAATAAGACATCTACTGAAATACCTCAATATATAAATAAAGCGTGTATCTAAATCACGGCATTACATCACGTAATCCGGACAATATCCTGATACATTATTACAACTCCAAAAGACTCAAAACATAATCAAGACATAACAATACTATGTGTCATGGACAATCCCCATGCTCACCAAATAAACATAGTACACAACCAGTCTCAACATAAAACTCCATAAACATAACTGAAGCTATAAGTATATAAACAACATGCAAATCCAGCATCCAATCATGGCAGCATAATATAACAGCAATCTAACTCAGCTCCGGCCTCCTGCCGCCTGAGGTCTCAACATTACCTGACCCTGAAATAAGCATTCCCCAAACGTGGGGTGAGATCTCTAAACTAGAAATCTCAGTAAGACAAGGGGTCCTTAAGGATCTTCCACCCCAAGCTCACTTACATGTGCAATATAAGTTCTAAAAGCATTTATATCATTATCAGTTCTAAAACTATGTAGTGCAACAGATATCTATGGCATGTGTGTAATCACTATCTACTGGCCAGAGAAATTTAGGAATACGTCTATCCCCTACATGTAGTACAAGGAACACCGTTTGCACCTCACCCACAGCCTCACCTTCTTGTATGTTCTACATACTCAGGCTTACCGTATAGGTGGAACACCTCCATGCATATCAACAAGGCACTAACATACAATAGCTCAACAACATTTCCAAAACATCAAAAGCATGTAACACAGCATGCATATACCATGTCCCCATGGGACATGGTGGAACCACAACATGGCTAAACCGAGGACACGAAAGCTTACCTCTAAGCTAGCTATCCAATCTGATATGGACCAAATATAAATCAATAACATTTACCACATGCATACAAATTAAAGACAACGCCTTTTCATTATGTTTTCAAGTCTTAAAGCTTCTAACAAAGCCACCAGCCCTTAATCCCATGATTCTGGCTTAGACCAATACATACAGAAGTTCAACTTCATCAAACTAGGGTCCACAAACCCCCAATAGCCTACTGTACATACAGCACAGCTACTGTTCTGCGAAAACTCAGAATATCCGGATATTCCTCGGGACCATATCCGGATATCTCATTGTCCATATCCGGATATGCAATATCCGGATATACAGATTCACATATTCGGATATCCAATATCCGGATATCTGTTCGAAAAATATCCATATATTTCACGACGGAATGCAGTTTCTGCATTTTCGTGAAGATATCCCTTAAAGTTTCCCTTTTTACCGATTTTAAACACCTAATCATGCATTTCTAGGCGTGTTCAACATTACCCAACAACAAGTTATCATCTTTTAGCCTTAACATGCATCAAGCTTCCATTTTTAAGCCTTTAAACTCAAGTTAAAGGTTGGTACACATACCCCAGCTCAAAACAGAAGGAAAGGTTGCCCTTTGGAGCTCACAATCAGTCTCAAGCTACTGTCACAAGAGGATGCACGAAAATGGTAAGAAAGGTTGACCCTTTAGCACAAAAGATCAACACTTGGACCACCAAAACCAAGACAAGGCTTCTCTCAACCCAAAACCAACAAGTCAGCAACCAAACCTCCCTCACACTGACTTCACAACACAGAAACAAGACCACCAACACACTCCCAATGATGATCATCACTCACACAAAGTGTTTAGGAGAAGAGTTTGTGAAGGAAATGGCCACAAGCTCAAGAAATGATGAAGGGAAGGCAATGGAACAGTAGCCAACACTCAGCCACCAAGTGAGTCACGTAGGGAATTCTGGTCCTTGGGTTTTGTGCCCATAATGGGAGTATTCAAAGTCCAAACACACTTAAACACTAATTTCTACGCTTAGCATTTTAATCCCAAACTTTGGATTATGAAACTACATAATTTTCTAAGAATTAACATATTTTTCTTATAATTTTCTGAGCAACTTTCCGGTACACGCTTTTCAAAGCCAGTACCGGTTTCTAGCACCAGTTCTCATTATTTGGACTTGAAACTCGTTTTACAAGTCCTACATATTATTCTTGTAATTAACATGCACTTACTTTAATTTTTCGAGATACTTTTTCGGCACGCATTTATACCGACTAGCAGAACCGGTATTTGCACTTTTCTTCCGAAAAGCGACTTTCAGCATTCTTAATCACTTAATATGATTATTAAGCCTCACAAATAATTATTAGGGTCAATTATGGAATCATTTTCTATTTTTGCATAATTAATCAATTAAATACCTTAATTAACGGTGCGGGTTCTTACAGTCTCTTACTTACTCTGTAAGTATGCAGAGTCTGCAATAAAATGTGCTAGGAGTTTAATTTTTAGATTTTACTTAATTCGTGTTGTTCCAAGTATTGCTTTAGTTATGTAATAGCCTTTCACTATGTTGCATATTTCATTGCTTTACAGGTTCTACAGGAAGT